ATTGTGATGCTGTAATTCTGAGTGTTTTATGTGCTGCAGAACAGGAACCTGCTGTAAAACAGCAATTATGCTGAGTCAGGCTTTATTTTTAATAATCTTTTCCTGTTGAATCAATAAATCAATAAATCAAATCAACAGTTGTAACGCTCTGTGTGCTGGTATCAGTGGGTCTGTGGTTTCCCTCTCACAGAAGGTGCAAAATGCTTCTGGTACAAGGAAATTTAATCACATTACACCAGTTTTAAAATCCCTGCAATGGTTACCAATCTGCTTTAAAATGATTTTGTTTTTAAATCATTAAACAGTCCTGGCCTCCCTACCTTTCTGAGCAGTTACATCCACACACCTTACCGATTGTACCTAAAACCAGGTGTAAACTCAGAGATCGGGTTTTTGCAACCGAAGTTATGGAACACCTGCCTTTGCACATTAAACAGGCCTCACAGCTGCTTTTAAATCATCTCTTAAAACACTTTTATCCTCTAGCTTTTGCTACGTCTTAGGATGTCATTTTTCTTTTGTTTTTATTCTTTTTATCTTTTACTGCTGCATGTTTTTACTGTACTTTATTGGTTTTAAATGGTTTTATTGGATCGGACTCCCTTCAGACTTTAGAACGGTTCTTTAACTGGACATGATCTACAGCTTCTCAATAAATCTGTTCGAGCTTTGGACTCAGGAAGGTCCTGCTCATTTTCTTGAAAATGCAAACTTGATTCAGGCTGAGGGTCAACGTTTGTCAATTTTTGGGGAATTTTTCAGAAAGGTCTAAATTTATCTTCAGACTTTCCTCAATGTCTTATTTAAAAGTTTACAGGAAATATTTTCAATAAAATGTATTCAATGGTTTGTCTTTTTATAAACTGTTTTTATATTAAAGAATGAAGAAAGGCTGAATAAGAATCCAGACTTACAGCTGTGCATTTAAAACTGTAGGAGGAAACCAAACATTAATTTGGGTAAATCTTTCTGCAGACGCTCTGTATCTTTGTGCTCCAACACATCGTTGGTGTTTGGACTCGTGGAGATTCTCAGAACTGATTTACGTGAACAACAGAGCGAGTTTTCTGATGGACTCTGTCCAGCAGGTGGCCCTGGTTATGTAACCATTGCTGGGTGTTCCAGTGCATTCTGGGTTGTGTAGTTAATATTTATGTGCTGTATACCTGCAGGTGATTATGATGCATATAAATAAAATTTGTGTTTGACACGTCTGTCTGAAGGACTCTGCAGGACATAGGGAGTGGTTAGTTAGGCCATCAGCTCTCAGGATTAAAGCATTACCTTCATCCAGAGCTGTGATTAGCTGACCGTCATCATGTTTGTAAGATGCTGCGACTGCAGGGGCTCACCTGGTTGTAGGTCAGCAGGTGAGGGTGCAACACAATCTCACTTTCATAAGACAGTTGTGTGAAACGGCTGCACAGACCAGTCTGCCTTTATCTGTTCTCTGCTCGTTCATGAATCACTTCCCGCTCAGACATGAGTGTTCAGAAAGCAGGCGGTGCAGCGACGTCTCCCGTATATCTTTAGCAAGTCAGGATGAGTTAACTCATTTTAATGATCCTCTCTGCGGTTAACTTTGTTTTTTAAATGACTGCAAAGTTGCTGCACATCATCCCGAATTAGCTGAACGGTTAAATGAGCTCAAATAGTTGCATTAAAAAAAAGAAAGGCAAGTCGGTGTAATAAAAACAATGGTGTGAGTGCTGACTCGTGGTGAGACAGATTATATTCAAACTATAATGTGTCTGTGAGAGGGAGCTGTTGGGAGGCTGAAGACATTAAATATTAAATTACTAAATTACTTTACTACATATGGGAAGCTAAAGCTGGATCTGTTAGAGCATCTCCACAGAATGTTTATGGTTCTCATAAGTTCAGATGTAATCACTTATTTCATGCTTCATAAAAACATTTAGATTTTTTTCTTCTTTCTGCTGTCTTTCATTTTATGTGGTGTGTATTTATTTTATTGTATATAGAATTAGTTGTTTTTTAATGAATAAAGTTTCAGTACATAAATAAATAAAAAGCTCAGGACATCATGTGCAGGACAGTGGGCGGGGCTTAAAACGCCCCATAGTGCAACAGATAAGTAGAAAAATGCTTCCGTTTTTGATGCAAGCATGAAATATTTGCACAAGCGCTCACTATAACTAACCGTAAATAAAATATCTGGTTTTCTGTACAAAATTTCTAAATTGGTTGCCACTTTTCAATATGGCCGCCAAGAAACTAATGCATCATTCCTTATTAAAATGATGTCTTCCTGGGTAGAGTTAATTTAATATACCACTGTACATTTACCATTTCAACAAACATGGTGAACAAAACGGCCGCCAGAAAATAGTTTTGTTTGAAAACTCGGCAACTAAAAAGGCTAAAGATGTAAAATTTTTAGTTATGCCTGTATTTTGATGCATTTTTATCTGGCAATAAAAAAAGGAGATGAAAGAGGATCACTTTGAGTTATGGTCATGATGTTAACACTTAGCAACTAACTAGTTAACAAAAAAGAGTTTTTTTAAGAGTTACTTCACACAGTTAGCTGCACAAAGCTGTTCGTGCTAGCCCATGTACAGCCAGACTCAGAGCCACATTTGGCTGTCCAGAATACTTTCCATTGCTCATCAACCTTTGCCCAAACAATCAAATGGACTCTCTCCTGCTGGTTGACAAGTCGTTTTGTAAAACTGTGACTGATGGCCATTTTGAAAAACGGCAGCCATTTTTAAAATTTTGTTTGGACACCCAGACATTTTTTAAAATTGTCTATGGAGAAACTATGTACCAGACTTTATGCTTTCACCATTAATTGAAGTATTTGATTGAAAAAAATATTTTATGTGACTATGGTTACTAAAATACAACATGGCAGCCTCCATAAAACGAGTCCGGCTGGCTTCAAGTCCCAACAAGAGAGGGTAGAGACACATGGTTTAGTATTTTTAATACAACAGCAGTGTTTGAAACAGCCCTGTTTTTATTTGTAAGAATCTGTTTTCTGTTGTTTCCAGCCGGTCCGGCGGTCCAGCGCTCTGCTCAGCCCGGCGGTCATGTTTGGTGCAAGAAAAACCTGGGACATAGGCCACGCCCCCTGCCTGCAGGAGCTCTGGAAGAACGACCTGTCACTGGATGGTAAGTCACAGGGAGGGGAGTGAAAACACCAGCATGGCTGCATTTTTTTCCCCTCCCAGCAGGCAAACAGGTGAGTCACACTGGAGCGAATGAATGGAGCTCAGCAGTAAGACGAAACCTCAGGCAGGACAGGTGAGCCCAAAATGTTACGTTTAGCTGATTTTCTTCTGGTGTTTTCTGCTCGCTGCCCCTGTCAGCTGATTGATTTGCAGCTTAGGTCCCAGGAGAAATGTATCAGCTGAGCAAACACTGGGGTTTTGCTGCTCAGACCTTAGGCAGCTCATAAAACGAAATTTGAAGGCTTCTCTTGATTGACGGGTTGACGTTTGTTTTTGAGCTGTGCCGATTGGAAAGGAAGATTTATGTGACTATTTCCGAATAATTATTTAATAAACAACCCAGCAGTTTCACATGATTCTCATGTAAATCCCCAAAACCAGACTTTCTGAGTGAGTAATCCTGCCAACTGTGAACAGAAACCACTTTCAGGTCCAGTCAGTACAACCAGATTGACACTAAACCATGGTTCGCATTTAAAAACGAATTAAATCGGGTTTTTTTAGAAACTTTACGTTTTTACATGATACAAACCAGCAGTAGGGTAACACACTGAAACACAAACATGACCATGCTGTTAATAGAAGCTACAGAAGCAGGAAGCGGATCGAATCACAGTTCAACAAAGACGACTAATTACTTTGGGTGTTTTCAGATTGATGTTTATACTTCTTAGCTGATTAAAATGTCTCACTGTGTTCAGATTTAGTTCGTTTTACAGTGAGCAGCATCTTCCTCTTATCCGGGGTCAGGTCTCGGGGGCAGCAGCCTAAGCAGAGAGACCCAGACTTCCCTCTCTCCAGCCACTTGGACCAGCTCCTCTGGGGGAATCCCAAGGTGTTCCCAGACCAGCTGAGAAACATAGTCCCTCCAGTGTGTCCTGGGTCTTCTTCTGGGTCTCCTCCCAGTGGGACGTGTCCAGAACACCTCACCAGGGAGGCGTCCAGGAGGCTTCCTAACATGATGCCTGAGCCACCTCAACTGGCTCCTCTCGACGTGGAGGAGCAGCAGCTCTACTCCGAGTCCCTCCTGGATGACTGAGCTTCTCAGCCTATCTCTAAGGGAGAGCCCAGACACCCTGCAGAGGAAACTCATTTTGGCCGCTTGTATCCACGATCTCGTTCTTACTAAGTACTAAGCTCGTGGCCATAGATCAAGAGAAACTTAAACTCCTCCACTTGTGGCAGGACCTTCTCCCCGACTCGGAGAAGACACCCCATCGTTTTCCGGCTCAAGACCATGGTCTCAGATTTGGAGGCACTGATCCTCATCCCGGCCCTTCACACTCGGCTGTGAACCACTCCAGTGAGAGCTGGAGATCAGGATCTGATGAAGCCAACAGGACCACATCATCCACAAAAAGCAGAGATGTGATCCTAAGGTCACCAAAAAGGATCCCCTCAACACCTTGGCTGCTCCTAAAAAWTCTGTCCATAAAAGTTTTGAACAGAATCGGTGACAAAGGACAACCTTGGTGGAGTCCAACTCTCACCAGAAATGAGTCCGACTTACTACCAGCGATGCGGACCAAGCTCTGGCACCGGTCATACAGGGACCTAACAATCCATATCAATGGGCCTGGTACCCCATACTCCTGGAGTACCCCCCCACCCCCCACCCCACAGGACTCCCCGAGGGACATGGTCGAACGCCTTCTCCAAGTCCACAAAACACATGTAAGACTGATTGGTTGAACCCTCCAGGACCTTGCTGAGGGTGTAGAGCTGGTCCAGTGTTCCATGACCAGGACCAAAACCACACTGCTCTTCCTGAATCCAAGATTCGACTATCAGACGGACCCTCCTCTCCAGAACCCCTGACTAGACTTTACCAGGGAGGCTCAGAAGTGTGATCCCCCAATAGTTGGAACACACTTTGCAGTTCCCCCTTTTCAACAGGTTCACAAATCTACCATGGTCAAAGTAAAATGTTTTTTTTTTAACAAAACAATGTAGAAAAACAAATTCATTTTCATCAAAGTAGGAACTAACAGTTGATCTGAGGGAAGGATCAGCTTCGGAGACATTTAGGCTCAGATGTTTTGGACATTTGCAGAAAAGTGACAGTGGACATTGTAATAGAAAAATACTTTTTGTTTTAAGGCAGTACTTCATGACATACTTTAGTGACCCAGTTTTTCATGTTACCCTGTTTATCTGTAGATAGCATGATTTAAAGCCAGAACAAGATTAGCTAATAATCACTCTTAGATATCACTTGTATTTATCTCTGTGTTTTCCCTTGACCCAGCATTCCTTCAAGGATGAAATCTTACTTTATTAGGATGACATACTTGTGTTTGTTAAACAGTATTTGTAGGAGGTCTCAGAGGAGCAAGGGTTAACACAGACCTTTACAGTCGGATGGCTCTGTGTTCATTTCTGAGCTTCTGTTTTAATGCAATAAACAAACTCAGTCGACCATTCTACAGAGAGCCTTTATTCTTTGAATCACATGTTTCTGCTTCTTGGTAGATAAATATTTCCACAACAAACGTGTTGGATAAAGGATGTTAATATTACAATATAGAGGAGGAGAGGAAAACTTAGAGAAGGCTGACAGTGTAGTGGAGACCATTTTAGAGAGCAGCTTGGAAAAAAGTATATCAATAATAATCATCGTGATGTTTGGTGGGATCCATTTCACCGAACACACACACATCTTTGTTCTTGCATCAAATTGAGGACTTTGTATTGACTTACATTCATTTTTGTAACTGCATTTATGCCTAACCCAGACATTTTACTAACCATTACTAGTCTGTTTTTAACCCTAAACATTACTAGTCTGTTCCTAAACCTAACCATTACTAGTCTGTTCCTAAACCTAACTATTACTAGTCTATTCTCAACACTAACAATTACTAGTCTGTTTTTAACCTTAACCATTACCAGTCTGATCCTATCTCTAAGCATTACTAGTCTATTCCTAACCAACTAGTATTCCTAACCCCAACCTGAACCAGAACCTTATTCACACCATGCCTCTAGGACCAGGAAAATGTCCTAATTTTGTTGGTTAAAAACATGACGGTCCTCACTCTGTAGCAGAAATAATTACACACACACACACACACACACACACACACACACACACACACACACCAGTAGATGTTTGTGTTGTTGAACTTGGTGAGGGTAGGTGAATCACTGTCTCTGTTGCAGCTTACAGAAATATTGTCTTAATTTTAAAAGGCTTTCTGATAATAATGTTACTTCCTTGAGGTGAAGCCTTAAATGTTGCAGTAATTTTATTAAAATAAATCAGAACGTGTCGCCTGAATGGGAAGAGTTGGAGCTTGTTTGTTTTAAAGCGGCTAAAAGCTTCAAAAGTTTGCTTCTGTTCGGAGTTTCAGAGGATTGTTGAATCTGGGTTAAGTTTTTTTTTTTCCCCAGAGATGTTTCTGTGAGTTAAGTCTGTTTAATGCTGAGATTTATTTCCTGACAGAGTAAGGATTGTTCTCAGGCCTCGTGCACTCAAACACTCGTGTTGACACACAGAAACGCAGAGTCGGAGCAGGTTAATGTGTCAGCGGCTCTTATCTTGGTTCCTGTGGTGTTCAGGAGGACCGGGCTGTGCTGAGGCTTGATTCAGAGATCAGTTTATAGATCATGTTAAGGTTGTTTGGAGCACATGGCTCCTTCTGAAGATCTTTAAGAAAGAACACATCCATAATGGAGATTAGGTTACTGGTATCTACTTTAAATGGTTAATGGACTGTACTTGTATAGCACCTTTCTATTCAACCAGGATACTGAAAGCACTTTACAACAATCTGTGCCCTCATTAATTCATTCACAAAGCACTTTACTGTCTCTACAAAGCTAATCTGGATAAATCATATAGAGGCTATTTATTCAGTCACAAACTAAAGTTGTCTCAATCTATCATCAAAGAATCATTGTGTTTGTTGGATAAAGACAGGCTCTGTTTTATTATACTAACAATCTGGAAGTATTGATGTTCTTTTAGTGTTGTTGTTGTTGTTGTTATTGTTGTTGTTATTATTATTCTGTTTCCAACATAATTTATCTATCTATTTATCCATCTATTCTCTATCTATTATTATTATTATTATTATTATTATTATTATTATTATTGTTGTTGTTGTTGTTGTTGTTGTTGTTGTTGTTGTTGTTGTTGTTGTTATTATGTTAGTTTTAACTTATGTATATAACTTGTTCCTTTCACTTTCTCTCTGCCCTCTTCAACTTTTTTGCGTCTTTCATATATTTCTGCTGGTTTCACTTTTTATCATCACATTTCTGCATTTTTCAGCTGTTTTCTGTCCTTTGAAGCTTCTTGTTTTGACAGTTTGGGTTCCAACTCAACTGTTTAAATTCAGCAACACTTATGGTTCATTTTAGTTTAGTTTAAAATGTTTCACCTAAACTATTCAGCAATAAGCCTTCATGTATTTTCTGCAGGAAATGCTAATTATTCTAAGTTAAATGTTAAATGTAGTAATTATAAGTTAAATCGGGGCATAGTTCAGGTAGCTTTAATAAAAGGACACACATTTTGGTTACATAACTAGTTTCAAACACACAATTCTTTTACACAATTCAATAAAATATAACATTTTGTAATATTTTTATTTAAACTTTATATACAGCTGTAGCCAAAAAAAATGAATAATGTGAAAAAGATAAATTTTGTCAGTCATTTCCTAAAGTGAAAGTTCTATATAACACCGATTTATCACACAGTGTTGATTATGACTTACAAATACTGAAAAACCAAAATTCACTGTCTCAAAATGATATTACATAAGATTTATAAAAATACATTGTTTCACTTTCTAAATAAACAAACAAAATCCATTTTTCATGATTTTCTGATGAGCTGCTCCTGTGATTGGCTCGTTTCACAGCAGACATTTTGACCGACAGAAACAGGAAGTTTCAGCAGCATTAACAGTCTCATATCTGAAATGTGTGGATTTTTAAAAATCATTTCTTTGAAGAGCAGCTTTGTGTATAAATGAATGTTCTTTTTAAACGTTTGTTTTTAAAATGATTATTTTTTTGAGTGGATGATAAAGAATCATTCTGATGCAGTTGTTGCTGCAGACTGAAGGCCTTGTTGTCAAAGACAGATTAACTGAACGCTGGAGGCTTCGGTGGGGGGAGGGGCAGCTGGGCTGAAATATTTAACTGTTGGGGGGGGGGGTTGAAGGTGGGGCTACAGGAGGTGTGATGCTGTTGCCAGGGAAACTGGGTGGAAGCTGTGTCTGCGGGACGTGGTGTTTGTGGAGCTGCAGCGCTGAAGATGCAGCGATGATGATGATTCTGCAGGGAGGTAAGGGATGGATGGATGGATGGATGGATGGATGGATGGATGGATGGATGGATGGATGGATGGATGGATGCTGCAGACATGTTGAACACACAGCTCTGGTGTAACCTGATGCAGAGGCTCGTCTTCCTGCTGCTGACCTGAAGCGGAGCAGACTGTGGGCTCTCAGCAGGCTGCAGAGCGAAGCGCCATCTTTGGCCCGTTTTTTTTTTCTCTCTCTTTTTTTTCCCATCTAATCCTTTTGTCTGCACATTTTTCTCTGCAGTCACATGATCCGCATCATTTTTGGGACAGATTACCGTTCCCAGTAGTGCCGACTGTGCAGAGAAACCGTTCAGGGTGTCTGGTGTCTTGGCAGCAGGTGTGGGCGGAGCTTCTGTCAGGTATTTTTAGTCTGCTGTGGAGTTTGTTAGAAGTAGGTTAGAGTGTGTTGCTCCCATTGGTGCGGAGATGAAACGTGTGTGTTGTTGACTGTCTGGTGGGGGGGTGGGGTATCTGATTGGTAATTTCTGAGCCGGTCAGGAGCAGCAGATCACACAGAAACAGCAAATTCATTCAGATTGTTTGAAACGCAGTCACTTACTGTTGCATATACTGCTTATTTATTTATTTATTTATTTATTTATTTATTTATTTACTTACTTATTTACTTACTTATTGATCCCCACAAGTCTTTCCCATGTTAGAAACTGTTCTGTTCTCGAGCAAAACTCTCGGTTTGATAAATGACATCATGTGACGAGGGGCGACAGCAACAAGGTTTCAGGATCAGCTCCTGGCCTGAGGCTTTTCTGATTTAATTATGTTCGACCCATGCAGGCGTGGGTTTTCTCCAGGTTCTCCACTTGTAAACCAAAAACTAGATGTCCTGTTAATCGTAACTGTAAAATGTGAGAGCGGTGAGAGTTGGTGTTTTTAAATCTCACCTTTTTAAAGTCCAGCTTGAGAGTTGAGTTAGTTTTTATGGTTTGTCATGTTTGATTTGTTCATATGAGCTTATTCTGATTTTATTAGTTGTAAAATGTGAAGCACTTTAGCCAGCAGTGGTTGTTTTAAATGTGCTTTAAAAATAAAGTGTGGAAGGTTGTTTGTCTCTGTGTCCCTGTGATGGACCAGAGGTCCAGGTCCAGGTCCAGGTCCAGGGTGGACCCCGCACCTCGCTCGTTGACAGCTGCAGATAGAAACCAGCTCTCTGTGGCTTTGAAAGAAAGGCTGCAGGTATAAAAACAGACTTTAAAACAGAGTCTGTGTACTTTGAACCACTCTGTAATTCTTATTCAACTAGTCCAAAAGGTTGGGTGTTAACGTCTGCAGTGTGTTTTCAGTGTCACAATGACTCTGATGTTTCTGGGTTTGTATAACAGTAACATTAACAGCTCTAAACATGAACTTCTCTGCAGTTGTTTTGTCTGTTTTTAGAGTTTTGTTTAAACTAGCCTTAAACGCCCCATTATTTTATATATTTTATATAATTTAATGAGTCCACCCCAGATTACAAAATGAACTGTAACATCTGCTGTATATTTGTTTTAAGAACTTTTGCCACAAACTGAGCCTCCTGACTTCTCTCGTTAGGTTTCGTCTGAGGTTTGTTTTCAGTTACGACTCAGTTTCTGCCTCTTTACATATTGTTTCTCTTGCTCATTTTCTGAAGCCAGTTGCCATTAACGTAGGAATCAAAATGGACGCTGGTCTTAAACTTGACAGTCAGAAAAAGGCAGTTTCTTTCAGCTGAGGCAGCTGACGTAAATGAGACCAGTTCTCCCACAGCATCCGTTTAAAACACATCACTGTACAGCTCTTTCATTGTCTGATGCCTTGACTTTTCAGAATTATGTTTTGTATAGTGGTATTAATT